AAGCAATGGATTAGAAGTAGATTATCCAACCACTGCATTAACAAAATTGTAAGATTTACTTAGTGATGCTAATTCTGCAGTTTCATGGCTTAGTCAAGTAAAAACAGTTATTTGGTCACAAATCATCTGTCAGTTGGTACAAGCCTCTCAGCCAACAATAAGACTGAGGAAGACTGAAAGACCTACACACATTTGAAGCTTTTCACGGGAATCTATGTCTTTAAAATTGTTATTTAAGCATGCAATATTGTAAACATTTCTTGAATCCTTTAGCCATGTTCAGAGTCCCTGAAATAATAATATCAACATTTATACTTATCCCAAACACTATTCACAGCAAAAAAAGAAGTAATTTTTGGTATGCAGTGTTTAGTTTGGGTGTTCTGGAAGGATATTGGAAACCAGTTTTCTGACTTTTCTCACATGTTAAATGATTCTTACTTACATCACTTCCAAACAACAGATACATAGTTCTTCTAAGGCAACTCTTAATTATTTAACAATTACATAACCAAAATATCTATCTCAATATGGCATTGATTAAACAAATGATAATGATGATCATGAACTCTTATAAGAAAAAAATCACAACATAGAAAACTTAGTGTTATCTCAATCATGCACTGTACAAAATTAATGATGAAGACAATCATGAAGTTTCTTCTAAGCACAACAGAAAGGAAGATTCTCCTGTACACAGCTTCTGCTTGATTTTCCTAGCCAAGACTGTGTTTGAGCAGAGAAAAGACTTACTGGAGAAAGTTCTACATTATAGTGAACAAAAGAATGAATCAAAAGTCTGAAAGATGTGCGTTTGAATAATATCTCCACCATGTCCTGGCACTGGGTAAAACAGATAAATAGCTTCTCTTATTTTATCTTTAACATTGGAACTGTCATATGTACTTTACAAATTATAATAAGGATTAAACAAAATAATGTATTTGAGTCCCTCACATGATGTCTAACAAATATATTAATAAAACACTCAAACAATGGTTATTTATTATCCCTAAGTTACTGATCAATGTTTGCCCTTGTTCTATAGTTATGGATGAAGAGAATTCCAGCACCATAAAGTAGGACAGGTTTTTCCCTTTTCTGAAGATTTCCTTAATGTTTATCTTCATGGAAATCATCCTCTCAGAAGTTATCTTTCTAGGTAGAAAATAACCACTAATTCCTTTTCAGCATTTATATTAACTTTACCCTATCTGTAACATGGTTACCCTCCCCTATGTAAATATACTATTTCTTTACACAGAATTAAAGGGGATCTCTTTGTAATTAGAGCCAAAAAGAGCAAAATAATTTTGCATATAATTTGATATACATCTTTACAGCTATAAATACATATTCTCTGGGATCCCTTTAAAGAAAGCATTTATATGAATGTGGTGTGGAGGCAAAAATAATTTGTATCAAATATATCAAGAGGATATAATATTACATTCTAAGGTATAATTAACACCACAATTGTCAAGTGGAAGTGCCTTTATTAATATTTCATGGTTCTTATACTTAAGTTATTAAAAACAATGACTTTTTTTTTTGGTAGAGATGGGGGGTCTCACTATTTTGCCCAGGCTGGTCTCAAACTCCTGGCGTCAAGCAATCCTCCTGCCTTGGCCTCCAAAATGCTGGGATTACAGGCTTCAGCCACCCTGCCAAGCCCAGGAATGCCATTCTGAAGACCATGCAGCTTGATGAACAGAGACAATAACAGTATCACACTTCATCATGTATGGAAAGACTCTCCTATACTCAAAGCCCAAGTAAATGTGAATTTTTCTACCCTAAAATATTTTCATACAGCCAGGTATCAAAATGAAAGAAATACAATTATAACCAGTGCTCAAATAAATCTTCCCAAAATACTAGAAGAGCTCAATAACTTAAACCAGAGGACAGCAGAAATTAGTTCAACAGGTAATTAAACAGAACTGACATTAAAGAAAAAGAAGAAGAACAAAATTGTTGGCTATCTGAAGTAGTTGAAGATTGTGAAGAAAATGACCTTAAAATGAAATTATAAGAAGATTGAAGACAAAAATTAAGACATAAAATTACCTTTAAAGGCAAGGCTGAAACACCATCCACGGCAATCATCATCTCAGAAAAGACTGTCATCAATCATGAAGAAACAAAATTGTTTGTGAATGAAGCTGCCTCAACCCTGCTCATCACCATTTGTGAAAGATGAATTTACAGATTATAGAAATATAAAAATTTAAACATGTTTTAAATTCAAATAATTATGATTTTATGAATTAAATATTGTCATGGTATTTTTGAACACATAAGCGTAATGAGTGGAGGACACAAATCAGAGTAAGAAAATGAATAGGAAGAAATAAGTTGCTTCGAAATTGAGAAGATCTGACCTTCTCATAAGGATCATTATTCATCATGATCCTTCCTGTGAGACTTAACTTTCTCGTTTACAGGAAACATCCATTCAGTCTATTTCATTATTAGTATTGTCATTATACTTACCAACTGAAGAATATTCCTAAAGAATATTTATGATGACTGTAGTAAAAAGTGATGAAGATGGCTAGACTTCTATACTTTTTGCTTTGAGACACGGTTTCACTCTGTTGCCCAAGCTGGAGTGCAGTGGCCTGATCTTGGCTCACTGCAACCTCCGCCTCACAGGTTCAGGCGATTATCGTGCCTCAGCCTCCTCAGTAGCTGGGATTACAGGTGCTCATTAACACACCCGGCTAATTTTTTTTGTATCTTTAGTAGAGATGGGGTTTCACCATGTTGGCCAGGCTGGTCTCCAACTCCTGACCTCAAGTGATCCGCCCGCCTCAGCCTCCCAAAGTGCTGGGGTTACAAATAGGAATGAACTACCCCGCCCTGCCCCAATGTACTTTAAATAAACCATCTCAAAAGAAAAGCAAAACAAAATAAATAAAGCAATAAAATTAAGCAATAATTTGGTGAACATTACCAATGTTACTGTGAGGGACATAAATAGGAACGAAATACTTTCCAGAATTACAGTACTTAACATTCTCAAAAATTTCCTATGGAAATCCATCTCCAAAGCCCGAAAAATGGGGAACACTACAACTAAAAGCCAGGAGCACAGGATCAGCCTCCTCTGCTGCGAATAAGACCAGTTCTCACTGCGCTGGACCACACCTGCTTGGGCTTGCCCGCGCGGGCGAACAAGCCCTCGGTGGGCGGCGCCAAGCACCGCAGCGCGCGTGTAGCAGCAACCTGAGCATCAACAGGCTGAACACCGCGCAGACAGCGATGATCGGGTACACGTTGACATCCACTAGCGCAGCCTCCCGGAACCCTATGCCTGTCAATGCCCGCAAAGAGGCCTTCCTCGCCCGGCTGCTCTCCGCCAGCGACACCAACGCGTTGATTGTGACAGTAAGCGACGGCTCGCGGTGGTCCTTTACCAGCACCAGCCGGCAGTGGCGCATAGCTTTCGCCTCGTCCAACGTACTCTTCTTGCTGATCTCTCCCGTGCACAACCCCACGCAGAACGGGTGCTGCCAGCCTACTGCTGCAGCTCATGTGACAACCAGATGTTGTAGCTGGAGTTGGCGTCTACCGCGCGCGCCTTCGCCACCACGTGGCCTCCACTCACCGAATGCGGCACCAGCCTGTTCACAGCGTTGCCAGCCGACCCAAGGCGCCAGTAGCGCCAACCAAGTTGTCATTCCTGCAGTAACACCTGCAGCATTACGTTGCTGCCCAGAGGCTGCATGCCCGCGTCGCGCGCGCTCCCCTGGAACTGCAGCAGCTCCAGCTCCTAGTGGTTCAGCGGCTGCGGCGCGTACAACTCTGCGTGCACCGACATTTAGCTCGACAGCGACAGCGTGCGCTCGCCCACCCGCAGCTCCATCAGCGAGTAGGACACCAGTGCGTTCTCCTGAGCATCCCCGTTTCGCGCGAACACTGTGAAGATATGGCAGCCTGGCGGGATGTTCTCTTTCATAAACACCATGTACTCGGGCTGCATGAACGCCAGAGTGTTATGGTTCACTGTCGGCCACTTGCACAGACCCGATGCCCGTGGCCAACAATGAAAACGAGTCCCCGTTCCGCGCGGTCACCAACTGATAGATTTGCTCTCTTGGTCCAGGGCGCTGTGAAGCACTAACGAGCAGGTGCTGGGCAGCACCTATTGAAGGTGGACACCAACTTGAAGGGACATGAGGCATCAGGGTGAGGGTCACCTGTCCCTTGACACTGAATTTAGCGTCAAGTACACTGATCAGGGCTATGATGTTACCTAGTGGAGTGTCTTCCTGTACAGGGAATGATAATGACTTGCTGCTAACTCTGGAACACTATCATTGACGTCCCAGACTTCTATCAAGTCTGCGCAGTAGCAAGCATTGGGGAATCGCCTTTGTCAACTGCCTGTATTTGAATCTTCCATTATTTAGTTTCCTCCAAACCTGTCTTTACATTTACTTCTCTTTCTCCACTGTCTGAATCTATGCGAAAAAGGGCTTCTATGTTAGGGGAGACATCGGTTGCAAAGAAACAATGTGACTGTTTGAAACCTGTCCAAATCCAAAGGCTTAAGTCTAATAACCAGTGTACCTGTGGGCACAGTGGTTCACCCTGTAATCCCAGTACTTTGGGAGGCTGAGGCAGGAGAATTGCTTGAACCCGGGAGGAGGAGGTTGCAGTGAGCGGAGATTACATCACTGCACTCCAGGCTGGGTGACAGAGCGAGGCTCCGTCTCAAAAATAAATAAATAAATAACCAGTGTACCTTCTCTTGCATTTTCCAGTGATTTCACATGGCAGACTGCTTTGCCAAACACTGGGGTATCATCAGGTACATCCCGCACTGTGCCATGTAATGCTTTGGTGCCTGTCAGCTCAGCTTTGCCCCCATCAGTTGCTTTAAGCACCAAAAGTCACTCTGAAGTGACTTATCAATCTGCATTTTTTAAATACACCTTCAAGTGGTTTTACCTGCTCTTCATTGGTTGGTATTTCCCGGGAAAAATAATCACTAGGGTACAGTATGTAAATCAGCAGAGCATTGGCCCCTGCTGCTGCATCCCAGACACCCCCTAGTGAAAAACAAGAATCAAGAACCCTTGTTTTCTAAATAGATTATTTTATGTCACTGAGAACAGTGACAGGTTGTCTTTAATGTCTTTCACTTCCATCTCCACATGGAAAATCTGTAGCAGCTCGTCCACAACCACCTCCAGGTGGATGCTGCACTCCAAGATCCGCCAACACAGCTCCTCGAGGTCGATCTGAGAATCCACAAACAAAATGCCATTCTGCAGATTTACCTCCAGACGGTCCCCATGGCCTTTGGAATCCACCCAGAACGGGCGCGGCACCAGATCCAGACCCAGGTCCTGCATGATGTGGCCCAGAAAAGTGTCATGTGCCATCCTTGGCCTCTTCCAGGATAGTATAGTGGAGCTGGTCCTCCCCCTCCTCACAAATTTCGAGGAGCAAAAGCCAGTGCTGTAGGCTCCGGGATTCCTGGCCACTTAGTCTGGCAGCTAACATCATGCCTCTCTTTCGGTTAGTAAAAGAATATTTCATGACTAGAAAGACATAGTTCCTTTGAGATCTTTTGATTCCTTGTTCCTGAGGTTCCACATGATCTTAATGGGTGTTTGTGGTTTTTAAAGCACAGGAACAATGGAGCTTCTTTCTGATCTAGGAATAATCTGATTTTCGCCTGTTAAAAAATACTTTTCTTGGAGAACAACAATATCCTGTGGCTTAATACATAAGTGGATTTGATTTCATATTATTTCACTTACCTTCCATGTTGCTAATTCCTACATATGCATTTATGCGGGTTTTTTTTTTTTTTTTTGAGCTTTCAAGTCCTTTCCTATACCTTCTTGTGTGTGACCAGTACCTCTTCAAAAGTAGGTTTGTCTTACAAATTAGAATTCCATGAAGAGTTTTGTCTTGTATGTGGACATCCTAAAGAAAGTACTACTGCGCCAACTGTATTATCATGTGAATGAATATGAAATAAGATCATATTTGCCGGATACTTGTGTTATTATTTCCTTTACCTTTTTCAATTTTTGAAATAGGGTCTCACTTTGTTGTCCAGGCTAGAGTGCAGTGGCACAATCATGGGTCACTGCAGCCTCAGCCTCCTGGGCTCAAGTGATCCTCCCACCTCACCCTCCCAAGTAGCACTACAGCAGAAACTACAGGCATGTACCACCACGCCGGCTTATACACATAAGTACACACATACACACACACATACACACATATGTAAGGAGTACACACACACATATATATGCAAGGAGTACATACATGCATACACACACACGTGTGTGTGTGTGTGTGTGTGTCTTTGTAAGGAGACCCCCATCATATATATGTTCAGTACAAGGTATCCCAATGTTGCCCTGGTTGATCTTGAACTCCTGGCCTCAAGCAATCCTCCAACTTTGGCCTGTCAAAATGCTGGGATTACAGGTGTGAGCCACCATGCCTGGCCTTAAATTAGTACTGATGAAGAGATTAATGCACCTGTATACCTGAGGCTTTTATGACTGGTATGAGTTTTTACTAAATTTTATATATTACTTATGATATTCAGGAGGATTTTTTTCAAATATCAGAGGAAGTATATATTTCATAAAACTATTTTGATATAACAAATATTATATCATTTCTAAACTCTGCATTAATTTAGCATCTATAATTTCTAAAAGCTGGAGACAGGGCATGGATTGTATTAAGACTGAAAGAATGCCATGTTTAAATTCTTGCCACAATTGTCTTTTTTGATGTTCCTAAACTTGAACAATAATTTTAACTGCTATTTGAAGCTATTTATGAAGCACATATGAGTAACAAATTCAATCTCCATACTCAAAGGGAAAGGAAAGAAAAAGTAATTGCTAAGAGCTGTAGGCAAGATGATAAATTCATGGCATTGGTGTTTGGTAACACTAGAATTAATAAAGATTTTTTTTTAATGAAATCATGAGTATCAGGTAACAACCAATTTCAGAAAAACACAATCGATAGTGCAGCTTTGTCACTAGGCAACTAAATTAGCTTTCATTTCTGGGTCTATATCATACAACCCAACCCTGTTTAAGATGACTAGAGAAGCTATTTTTTTTCCTTTTTTTTTTTAGGTTTCGGGACCAGAGAAGCTATTAAACTAAACTTTACAATATAATAGATCAGTAGAAAACATTGATTTAATTTTCTTCTCAAAGTTTTAATATTAATTAGTAATATTTTCAATCTCAAAATTAAAAAGTGTTCAAATGCTCTTCGTTATTAAACATAAGCATGACTCCTTCCTCAAAGTGACAGAGCTAATACCTGAAAATCATAAGCAATGCCTAATGATAAAGAAGCAGATAACTGCTGGATAAAATTATGTAAATAACGAAAACACACACTTTCTTCTGCTAAGTAAAGTGAATAATACACACTGACACAGGTACCACTACAACTAAAATAAAAATGGAAAACATTTTTCAAGTTCAAAGCATTTAACTTAATTGCTAAGATTAAGAAATTTTAAATTGCCACCTACTTACTGTGCCATTGAGGAAAAACTGTAATCGCTGAACACTGAAATCTGCTATGGCAGTATAAGCTATGGTACACTACACATGTTCTACACATGGGAGAAAACACATTTTCACTGAAGAGATATTGATCAGCTAATTAACAAAAAATCATATTAATTTTTTTGTTAATGCAAATACAAGCAAATCAAAATTTAGATTGGAAAATGAAATAACATTAACTGAAATACTAACCATACAAATATTTGCAACGAAAAGTGATTATGAAAGTAAATCATCAGAACTGCAACCCATATCACATATTTGTATTGGAAAATATTGGTGTATTCAGAACAAATTGTTATTTTTAAAAATTAAAGTAACAATCAAAAGCTGACACAGTGGGTAGGATAGAAAAAATTTAAAAGCAACTCCTGGAATAAGTTATATTACAAGAGTATCACTAGAAATATTCAGGCATAAATGGTATGTAGACAAAAATGAAATATTCTGAGATATATATTTGAGAAAATGCGGTGAGAAAATATGATCACAAAGCACAAAAAGAAAAGGAAAAGGTAATAACCCACCTTCCTAGAGTGGTCCCCTCCAATAGGCTGATCTTCCGTTTCCACATCTACTGTTGGGCAGGGTGGAAGGCTGGGGCTGAAGGCCATGAGGTCCGTCTTGGGCGGGCCTTCCCCAGAACACACCCTCTGCCGCCTCTGCTGCGAGTAAGACCAGCTCCCCACCGCGCTAGAGCACACCAGCGTGGGCTTCATCGGCCCACAGGCGCCCTCGGTGGGCGTCGCAGAGCACCGCAGTGCAGTGTACAGCAGCAGCGTGAGCACCAGCAAGCTGGACACCGCGCAGATGGCGATGATCAGGTACACGTTGACATCCACCAGGGCCACCTCGGGCGCCACGCCCACTGACGCTCGCGACGAGGCCTTGGGTGCCTGGCCGCCCTCCACAAGCGACACAAGCACAGTGGCTGTGGCCGTCAGCGCCGGCTCACCATGATCCTTCACCAGCACCAATAGGCGCTGACGCGGCGAGTCAGCTTCATCCAGAGCGCGTGTCGTACTGATCTCGCCCGTGTACAGCCCCACGCGGAATGGGATGCGTGCGCCAACCGCTGCCGACTGCAATTCATACGACAGCCACGCGTTGTATCCTGAGTCAGCGTCCACTGCGCGCACCTTCGCCACCACTTGGCCAGCACCCACCGAACGCAGCACCAGCTCACTGACTGCACCGTTCGCGCTGCCAGCGGGAGACGCCAGCAGCGTAGGCGCGTTGTCGTTCTCATCCAGCACGAACACCTGCAGCGTCATGTTGCTGCCCAGAGGCGGCACGCCAGCGTCGCGCGCGCTCACCTGGAATTGCAGCAGCTCCAGCTCCTCGTGGTCCAGCGGCTGCAGCGCATACACCTTGCCGCTCTCCGCGTGCACCGACACGTAGCTCGACAGCGCGCGATCGCCCACCCGCCGCTCCACCAGCGAGTAGGACACCAGCGCGTTCTCCTGCGCGTCCGCGTCCCGCGCCGACACAGTGAAGATGTGGCAGCCCGGCGGGTTGTTCTCCTTCACGAACACCGTGTACTCGGGCTGCGGGAACGCCGGCGCGTTGTCATTCACGTCGGCCACCTCCACGGACACGCTTGCCGTGGCCCACAGCGAAGGGGAGCCGCCGTCTCGCGCGGTCACCACCAGCTCATAGGCCGACACGCTCTCGCGGTCCAGGGCGCTGTCCAGCACCAACGAGTAGTAATTCTTGTAGGTGGAGACCAGCTTGAAAGGGAAATGGGGTGTCAGAGAGCAGGTGACCTGTCCGTTGGCTCCTGAGTCATGGTCAGACACGCTGATCAGGGCGATGACGGTGCCCACTTGAGCGTCTTCTTTTACTGGGAGAGACAGAGAAGTGACAATCACCTCAGGTGAATTATCATTTTCATCCAGTAATTCCACTAGGACCGTGCAGTGACCAACCATAGGTGGATTTCCCTTATCTGTAACATCTACATGAATTTCATAAGTGTTACTATCCTCAAAGTCAATAGCATCATTTACTTTTATTTCTCCCGTCGTTTCGTTTATCCAAAATTTCTTTCTTATCATGGGTGGGACCAAAGGGCTAAATGAATATATCATTTCCTTGTTTATTCCTTCATCCGAATCAGAAGCATTGAGCCATATAACTAACGTTTGGTTCACTTGATTTTCATACATCTTAACTTCATAAACCGGTCTATCAAAGATAGGGGCGTTATCGTTGGCATCTAATACCAGGATAAGCAGAGAAACAGATCCGGTAAATTCAGGTTTGCCTCCGTCAGTTGCTGTCAATAACAACTTTAGCTGAGGATTTTCTTCACGATCCAGCAGTTTCCGCAGAACAAGCACTGGGAATTTGTCTTTGTCTTTTTTGTTCATAATATCAAGAATAAAAAACTCATTTGGACTGAGTTTGTAAGTAAGCAATGCGTTCTCTCCAACATCCGCATCAGATGCGCCTTCTAGCGGAAATCGAGAGTCAAGCAGTCTGGATTCAGGTATTAAGAGCTTTTGTTCTGTTACGGAGAACCTGGGCGGATTGTCGTTAATGTCCTTTATTTCCACGTCCACATGGAAAACCTGCAGCGGCCTGTCCACGATCACCTCCAGGTGGATGCTACACTCCGCGCTCCGCCCGCACAGCTCCTCGCGGTCRATCCGAGAATTCACAAACAAAATGCCATTCTGYAGATTTACCTCMAGAAGGTCCCCGTGTGTTTTGGACGCCACCCGGAACAGGCGCGGCACCAGCTCCGCCAGCTCCAGCCCCAGGTCCTGCGCGATGCGGCCCACAAAGGTGCCGTGTTTGGCCTCCTCCGGTACGGTGTAGTGGAGCTGACCGCTCCCCACCTCCCAGGATGCAAGGAGAAGAAGCGAGAGCAGCGGACACTGGGCCCCCAAGCAGCTACATCTGGAAACCATCTTATCCTTCTCCTGTTTTAC